AGGTTAGGCTGAATACCACTCAGATGTTTTCTCTTTCTGTATCAAAATAAGATTTTATTGCTAAAATCTGATTTCTCAAGTGAATGAACTGCAGAAAGAGAAAACTGTCAGATTTCAGCCTTTTTTGTATTGTTGTTGTTGTCATCATCTTGCTTCTCCTCAGTATTGAATTGTCGTTTTGCAATTGATGTTTTTATTGTAGGATCAACTGTTACAACGCGCTCTACGCACAAGCTCCTTTTGGTGGCTTTAAAATGTCAGGCAATGGCAGAGAACTGTAAGTTTTGCTCAATATTTTGTTTTTTGTGGGGGTGATGAATGCAAATAACCATTGTGACTCTGTGAATATATTGTTGAATTTGCTTTTAAACCATCAGGCTTGCAGTATGCTGCACAGGGAGGTGCTAAGCCAGTACAGCGTGGATGTAAAGCAGAGATGTGAGAACGTGAGCGGTGCCTTCAGGAGTACCTTCATCTGCTCTATCAGCTCTTAGTAACTCCAGTTCAGTCAATTCCACTTGCAAGCATTTTTCCTTACTAGTTAGATTTTTAGATCAAGGGAGAATCATAGAATTGTTTAGGTTGGGAAAGACCTTTAAGATCATCAAGTCCAACCATTAACCTAGCACTGCCAACTGTTACCCTAGCCCTGCCAACTGTTAACTTAGCCCTGCCAAGTCTGCCACTAAACCATGTCCCTAAGCACCTCATCTACACCTTGGCTGGGAACCAAAAAAACTCCACCCCAAAACTCCTCCATCTTTATATGGCGGTATCTGGGCCTCCCTTGTCTGCTGTATTATTGCTCCTAGTTGGACCTCTTTGCACCTCTGACTTTCTAATGTGGGAGCTAGAACAACAGGGAATGATCGTCAAGATCATTCTACCTTCCAAGGTTGCACCTAAATTACAGGCAGTGTCTGTCCTTTTCCCCAGCCTGACCCGTTGCAGCAGGTTTTATTACACCATATTTTTTGAGAGAGGCAGGTTTTATTACACCATTCAGAAGACTCTTCAGAGGAATGTAATGCACTTTTTCTTTCATAAGCCAGATGTATCACCAGGAACCATTTCCAGTAGCTGTTCTGGTGCATCTGCTGCTCTAAGACATTCAGATGCCTCACTTGCTAAGCCTGAGCAAATGAATGAATCCTCAAATGGGACACATATTTGGAGACCTTATGGTTTACTTTGCCTGGCTAATTAAAGGATGTCAGGGGTTTTGTCCCTTGGGCAAGGCATGGGAATAGAGCCAGTGTCCACCAATCAAGACATAATGCAGTGGTGGGGTCTGTCATCAGCCTGCATTTCTGGAGCAATTGTGCCCTCTTGATTATATAGTATCTTGTAGACCAGAAGCTTACTTTCAGTGAAAAAGTAACTAATTAGTGTCTAAGCACTAATAAGTATGTGTATGTGGATGTTTCTTCTAGGGGTTCTCACAGTAGTACTCAGTTTTCACTAGGCAGAGTCACAAGGTGTCATCTCGTGGGTTACTGTGACCAGAACCATTCTATGTTTCTTTTACAAGGAGGTGTGGTTGTGTGTACTTACTGTGCATGTACTTAGCGATTATTAGAAGTGGTGGGCCAAACTGATAGCTGCTCTAAATTAGTTTAGATCTGGCTTTAATGGCCTGATGTCATCTATGGCAGCTTTTGATCAGAGGCTAAAATGCACTTGTGTGGAAATCTCTTAGGGAAGTACACATTAACGTGCTACAATTGTTTGTCCCTTTCCCTCCTCTCTCTTCTTTTCCAGTGGTGAATATGCTTTGGCAGAATATACCGAAGTGAAAACAGTCACCATTAAACTCTCCCAGAAGAGTCCGTGAAAACAGAAGGCCTAAAATGCTGACACTCTGAATGTGACACATGGGGGACGTGTTCAGAGCAAAGGGGGAGGGGAGGGGTAGAAAGGAAAATGGAAACACCTAACTTTATTCCTCTAGAAACACTGAATCGACTGGACTCCATTTTGTCAACTAGCTCTTTGAAAACGGATTTAACTGACCCTACTGGCAGCATAGCACATACTTGTGCTGCACAAGTCCCCGGCTGTACATCTGCCCGCTACCTGTGACTAAAATGCTGGTCAGTCACAGTGCTTGCAGGATATCTGCTTTCAAACTGTACCCCTGAAGGACTTTGGATGTCAATGGCATGTTAGAGAGACTTCTGGTACCATTAGCATGGACTGTGAAACACCTTCAGAGGGTTTCGCTTGGCAGAAATGGACTTGGGCAGTAGGGTTAATACAACTTGACTGAAGTTGGAGGAGTTTGTGCGAAGGCTGCAGCTGGAGTTTGGGATGGGAGTGCAAGCTTTCATGAAAGGAACTGGAAAGAAATTCTCTTTGAAAGAGCTACCTTGGTCTCTCTAAAGATACATGCAGTCTCCGTGTTGGTGATATTCTAGCCCTGAATGAGATTTATGGGAGTTTCCTAGAGGACTCCTTTGGGGCCAGTATTTCACCTGACAGAACTAGACTTTAAAGTCTCCTTTGAACCTGATGTTTTGGTGTGCACGCATTACACGTGCTACAAAATGCAAGTTGACTGACTTGCTAACCCTTCTGGCTGCAAATGAGTCACAATTGTATCTTAAACCTTCACTATAGCACTTTTCGCAAGAGGATTTTGCACTGTACTTACCGTGATGACACAGAGTTGAATGATAAGCATGTAGCATGGTAGATACCCCACAGAAAACATCCCACGCCAGTCCTTCTGGTCTGGGGGAGGGAGCAGAAGAGCTGCAAGAAGCTGTCCTGCTCTCTCTTTCTCTGTAACTTTCAGGCTGTGTGAACATCTCTTTATTTTTTGAGCTATTATTAAGAGAGTGAAACTTATGAGCTCTTCTCACTGCTACTTTATCCTGTACAAATGTAGCTTTAAATAAATTTCTGGAAGTACAGTATGAAAAGGCAGGTGCTCCCAAGCACACGCTGAGTGCTAAAGATGTGGGTGTACAAACCAGTTACCATGGAATAAGCTATGGCTGGACTTATATGTGTCAGCAGCTTTGCAGTAATTGTCCTCATGAGTGCTGTCGCGTCGTGGCAAGCACAGAGCAGCTGATCCTTCGCTGAGGAATGAACTGCCTTGAGTCGTCTCTTGCTTACAGTCACCTAAGCAGGTGTGTCCATGAATAGTGTCCATGGAGTGGCTGTCACACCAAGTTCAGGCTTTAGTCTCTCCTGCAGTAACTTCTTTGCATCCCCAGACATTACTATGAGATTAATGACAAGCCACCAGTTCCTGGGTTCACTACTTTCCCTCCTCCTCCTCCCGAATCTGTACTGGAGAACCAACTGGTAAACATACGGGAAGTTCCATGTCCGCAGGAGCTGTAAGTGTGCAGGAGTTAGTGGTGTCAGCTTGTTGGGAAGTTCAGCTGATCTCGCTGGGATTGTCTTCTGAGAGGTAACAGATAGAGGTTCCTTATGGCATTATCAACAGATCTCCATGGAGCACTGGTAAAGATATTGCTGCCTGGCGTTTTCCAGATGCCAGGGCTTGAAGCAGAAATGCAGGTCTAACCTCTATACCCTGACACAAGCAAGGATTTAACCGGTACTTTCCTTTGCTCAGAGATCTGCCCAGTCAGTAACAAGTTCTATTGCATGACAACCCATGCAATAGAGTTTTTGGAGGTGGAAGAAAGGTAGGTGGCAATAAATAAGAAAAAAGTTTGCATGAGCCTAAACTTATTAGTTAGTGAACATTGAAATTGCACTTCAACACTGCTTAACTTCTTAAATGACATACCTCCAACGGCTGTGTGTAATGAGGTGACTGTCCTCCCGTGGGTATGTGACAGGTAAAGCTCCCAATCCAGTGAAGAAAATGTCCTCCCTTCCCCATGAAAGGCCAAATGGGAACATTGTAAATAAGTTTTCTATTTTTGTAAAACAGAGTGCAAACATCTTCTCAGACAAATGTTTTACTTTTGCCTACTCGATGGTTTTCTAGGGCGGCCGTCAGACAGTAGGGAGGTAAGGCAAACGGTAAAAGGCTGGTTATCTTGATGTATCACTGCATTAATTTTTGATAAACAGTGGTTGAAACTGAAATAATCTGAAATTCTTAAAATCCTAGTATTCTGGCTTTATATGTATGATATATATTTCACCTCTTTTTTTTTCCCCTTATCAAGTTTTTAAAAAGTCAATGTATCTCTTACTGTATAAATCAGGGTTTGACTCTACACACTGAATTTTCTAAGTTATATAACACTAGACACTAACTTTAAAATAACCCCTTAGGGGGTATATATTCTTTCATTGCACAGTAAGGCTTTCATATGAAATACTACTTTTTTAAAAATAAAAAAAAAACCCAAACTATATTTATAAATTAGGATACAGTTAATCTAATGTATTTTTATAGCTAAAGGTACATGAAAATGCTATGTTTAAACCTCATGTATATATTTAGACTATGGGTATCTTTTTGTAATAGTTCTCGTTCCTAATAAATGTTTAACTTTGTGAAATGGTTTCTAAATATTGATACTGCTCAGAAAGGAAGGTGGGGGAGCAGGAAACTTCTAGACTTTACTCATTTTAACAGAGGAGTAACTTGAATGCTGTTTTATTTACACTGATCAGCGTCTTAAGATAATTCCAGCACCTCTAATGCCTGTGTTAAGACCCCTTCCATCAGCAGCTTCCACTCAACCCAGTTCTCCTGTGACTGATTTTTATTTCAGTCTGAATTTGAGAGGGTTACAGTTTCATGCTTCAAAAACAAAACAGCCCTGTATTGCTGTAGTTACAGGGGGTCTTCCTAGAACAGCAACCCAGCGCTAGTCCCCAAGCAGAAACGCGCACTGGGCTCACAAGAGACAACGTAATTTCGAGGTACCTTTTCCACGTGGCTGAACTGAACACAGAGTGCGTGTTTGCACGTGTGTGTCTGGGGATTCAGTATCTCACCAGGGGACTGTGAAGGAATCTGAACGTGGATTCACTCCCGCAGTTTGTGAAGAGGCTGTTTTTAAAAAAGTGGCTGCTTCCTGCCTTGTTCTGGCTGCTTCTTAAACCCCTTTATGACACATCCATCACTGGTATGACTCTGCTAATGGTGTTTCTATTCCTTCCTGTCTTATTTCCCTCGTCTGCAATGTAGATAGAGTGAGAACATATCAATACCATTACCTTTTAACTGTCTTCCCACTCTATACGCGTGTGAGAAATACCTGTCATCTTCCTACACAGGCCAAGTCAAACTCCTTGAATTTTGCACTTGCTAACAGCACCACTCAGAAGCTTTGAGAGTTTAGAAGGGGGAAAGCTGAAGATACAAAGGAATTACTGTGAGTGACATAATCAACGGAGACATAAGCCAGGAAGAGTGGGATGAAATTTGGGGGGGGGGAGAAGAAAAAAATAATTTAGCTGGAATGTGTGTGGGAATTCTTGCTAAAGGAAGTCTCTATAAAAATACAATTAAAAAGTTATTTTAGTGGGTTTTCAAACAATTGTGCTAAAAAAGCTGTAGGAAAGGTCTGGGTAAGAGCCAGGCTGCAAGGCATGAAAGACAAGAGTCTGGGTAGAAGGTGGAGAGGGTGCTAAAAACAGGTAACACCAACACTGTGGCTGCAGTGAAAAGCAGATTAACAGGGACCTGAGCAGAGGTAAAAGCACCGGTGAAGACACATCCTCTCTGTCTCCCTGATCACATCAAAGGAACAAATCTCAGGCTGCAGCAGCCATTCATTGGATACAGCTTTTTCCATCCTCAAGTGATCATAAGAGACTCTTTTCTTGGATTGGGCCAGGGAAGAAAAAGAAAACTGTATGTAATTTACAGAATCATCATGAATAACAAATCAAAAGGCTCTTCTCTTAGTAGGTCTAATGAGTGGGGAAAATAAAGTAGTACCAGGCTTGTGAGAGGTTCCTGGGACCTGCAGATGAACAGGTTTGCGATGGGGAGAAGACACGGGGAACAGCAACACGCCAGCTGCAGCAGAGCACGTCTAACACCTTGCGAAGAAAGAGGGCAACCTCGCTTTGCTTTTCCAGAGAGAAGCAAACCCACGCTGCGAGCTGGGGAAGGAGCAACTTCCAAAGGAAGAAATCTGGGATCAATGCTGTGATGGGGAAGGCCAGGCCTCCATCGAGGAGTGACGCAGAGAGGAGATGGGCAGCAGCTGGGGAGCAGGTCGTGAGGGTGAATTCATCCAGAGGAGGGGCTGTAGCTGAGACAGAGGGTCCTGCTTTAGTCTGGTTTTTCCTTTAAAAATTTTAAAAAATATTTTTTTAAAAGGCCAAAGAGCTGAAGCCCAGGCAGGGGCTGCCCGGGGACAGTGCAGACAGCAGCTGCTGACGGATGAGGGG